AAAACTTTATTGGGGAACAGTGTGTCTTTCCCAGGACCCATCAGCTCCAATTCAAGTTGTTGTCCTTCAATCTTAGTTGTGGAGGGCACAGCTCAGCTCCAAGTCCAGTTGCTATTTTCAGTCTAGTTGCAGGGGGCGCAGCCCACCATCCCATGTGGGAGTCAAACTGGCAACCTTGTTAAGAGCACATGTGCTAACCGACTGAGCCATCAGGCCACCCACTGGCAGCTCAGCGGCAGCTCAGCTCAAGTCATCTTCAATTTACAGTAGCTGTGGAGGGCGCAGCTCACTGGCCCATGTGGGAATCGAACCAGCAACTCTGTTGCTCAGAGCTCGTGCTCTTAATCAACTGAGCCACTTGGCCGGCCCAAGAGTGACTATATTTTTAAATGTCAATAAAAACACAAATGTATACAAAAATCTAAACTCAAACCTAGATTTTTACTTTTATTCTATTTTATTTCTTACTAGAGTGAGCAGGGGTATCTTGATCATTTTTGCCCACTGAGTGCACTACTGTTTTCTATAGCTGATTCACTTCTTGTCTTAGAACATAACCGTTCAATACTTTGTCTTCTATCTTCATACTTCTAATACTATCTCTCCATCTTCCTGAGCTGATGACGTTGCTTTCTAGAAAGTAGAGGCAAACAGAAGAGAACTCAAGCTCTCATCCCTACATCTACCCACCCACCTATATCTGTGCTTATACATTCTGTCTTCCCTTCTCTTACTGTGGATGACCTGGAACCCTCTTCCCCGAGATAGCTGTGTAGTCTCCTTCCTCTTTCCTTCAGACCTTTGCTCAAATGTCTTCTCAGTAAGGTCTTTCCTGATCCCCCTGTTTAAAATTGTAACACACTCATACTCTCAATCCCCTTTCCCTGACTTATTTTTATCCATTGCACTATCACTACTTAATATATTGTTTTACTCTTTTATTTGTTTATTATCTCTTCTGAATAAACTTTATAAGGGCAAAGGTTTTTTTTGTTTGTTTTCTTTAGTTTTGAACACTACCTGGAATATAATAGATACTAAACAGATACTTGCTGAATGAATTAAACTAGAACTTCTTTTGTGCTAATGTATATTATAAGAAAAAAACATTTGAACCAGAGAGACGGGGAAGGAAAGGGAGAAAGAAATTTCTTTTTCTTTAAAAACTGATGGTTCTGAAGTGGGATGGTTCTTTTTTGTGATTAGAAATTTTTTTTTTAAAGATTTTTTTTATTGGGGAATTGGGGGGATGGGAACAGCGCTGGGGAATTGGGGAAGGGGAACAGACAAGTTGCTGTCCTTTGTTCTTCAGTCTAGTTGTGGAGGGCGTCGCTCCACTGGCCCAAGTTGGCACCATCATCGCGCTCCTCCCAGGCGAGGCACACCAGTCGCCGGCTTCTGGACGGCCGCTCACGGCGGCTGCCGGCCGCTCACGCTGGCTGCTGGCCACACACGGTAGCCCATGGCAACCACTGCAGCAGGGGCTGCAGCCTACGCCGTCGCCGGCGACCCACAGCAGCCCAGCTCCAGGTTGAGCTGCCGTTCAGCATCTTGGCTGTAGAGGGCAGTGTCACCGGCCCTCATATGTGGGATCCGAACCGGGGCCCTCTGGCGTCCCAAGCCTGCCCCCAACCATCGCGCCACTCGGCCGGCCCCAGAAATTTTTAATATTACTTTTTTCTGATAATTATTTTATTGAAAATTTGGAAAATACAGAAACTTATAAATAAGGAAATAAAGAACATTCATAATTCTTTCTCTTAGCGTTAATTACTATAATATTTTGATATATTTTTATTTTTCTATGTACTTTTTATAAAAATAAGATCAAACTGAATATATAATTTTACCTTTTGGGTTTTCGCATTTTATATTATAACATGAAAAATTTTTCCATGTACCAAAGTATTAAGAACATGCTCTTTAATTAGCTGCAGAGTATTTTCCTCAGAGAGCTATAGCATATATTTTGTTGGGCTAATCCCTTGTTGTTGGACATTGAGGTTGTTTCTGAATTCTTTATTTTGCTATTATAAAGAAGGGTCATTAATCCTCTTTTTAAAATCGAGGTCTAATGCTCAGACAGCAGAGTGCACAAATCTTAAGGCTGCAGCTTGTGGAATTTTTATATTTGTATTCACCTGTGTGACACTAGGGTGGTTAATTTTTTTCTCAGTCACTTTAAACAAGTGGAAGCCTCCAAATAGGAGGAGGCTTCAGGAACTGGTCCTGGTGGTTCCTGGCTTTCAACAAAATTGAAAGAATTCTGCTTCACTGGTCTTGAATTCTTTCAGCGAAGTTAATGCTCCTTAGGAGGAGGTATTTCCAAAGGTCTGCCAAATGCCTCCAGTCACTTAACAACTTCTGTGTTTGTATTTAATCTCCAAAAGGCTTCTAATACTGAGAGAAGCTTCAGTGTAAGTTAGAAGGAAAAAGTGGATTCTGGTAAACATGAAGAAAAAATAGTTAAGAAAAAGGTAGTTAATTATACTTAACCTTTTGGTTGGTTGGTGGAGAATTTCTTTAAATCGAATTATATGTAATTTATATACTAATTACATATAATTTAAAAATATAGTGGTTCACAATTATTGGACTTTCTGCCTTTAATAAAGAATCCTAATTCTGTGAGGAAAAAAAGCTTAACAATAAAACTACTATTGGGTTGTCGGAAAAATCATGACGTGTTTTTTCTATGTTTCTGTTGCAAAAATGCGTCATGACTTTTCCGACAACCCAATATATTACTGCTACCTGTATTCTGAATTTTTCATTAGATGCAATGTTGTTACACCACTGGAATACTATGTTGTGAAAATTCTAATAGAAGAATATGACCAACGTGTATTTAGAGTAGGGAACAATAGGTTGAACTTTTTACTTTAAGACTTTTCTAAGATTTATAAATGAAATATGAATATTTTTCTTCTACTTCTACTTCTACTTTATGTTAGTGTTATTAATATATCCACCAATTTTACCATAATGACCTTATGATGGTAAAGGATGGTAAAGGAACAACTTGCCTTTCTTAGAACACGTTCTTTTTTTTAAAAAATATGTCCTATGTAATTTTTTTTCTGAATTTTTCTTTTAGAATTGTAGAAGAATACCATGACTTATATACATTACAAAGAGGAAGGATGGAGAATAATATTAAACAGTTAATGACAGAAAGAGATATATGGAGCTCAGCCACATATGAATTGGCCTTAAAGGTTGGTTCATCTGGAAATATAACTCAAACTTTTTTTTTTTTAGATTTTATTGGGGAATTGGGGGATGGGAACAGCACTGGGGAATCAGGGAAGGGGAACAGATAAGGTGCTGTCCTTTTTGTTATTCAGTCTAGCTGTGGAGGATGTTGCTTCACTGGCCCATGTTGGTATTGTGATCATTGCGCTCTTCCCGGCTGAGGCAGATTGGTCGCCGGCCATTGGACGGCCACTCACGGTGGCTGCTGGCCACTCAACGGTAGCTTACGGCAGTCGCCGGCCATTGGACGGCCACTCACGGTGGCTGCCGGCCACTCAACGGTAGCTTATGGTAGCCCACTGCAGCTCCACTGCAGCCTACGCCATTGCCGGCGACTCAAAGCAGCTCAACTCTAGGTGGAGCTGTTGTTCACCATCTTAGCTGTAGAGGGCGCAGCATCACTGGCCCTCATGTGGGATCCGAACTGGTGGCCCTGCTGCTCAGAGCTCATGCTCCCAAGCCAACTCTTAACCACCCAGCAAACCACTCAGCTGGCCCGCATACTTCTTTTTTGCCTGGATAAAGTTTCATTTTACACATTTCAATAATCTAGACAAAAATTTTTAAAAAATGAAGATGTATATTTAATTGATGAATAATGTAGATATTATGGGCCTTAGAAAGGGAAAGTTACATTACTTTGTTTCTTCACTGTTGGGTACCTGGCTATTGCCCAATTAAGGGCTTTTTTTTCCACCAGAACCTATGAAGATTGAGCAAGATTCTTTTTTTTTTATTTGTGAACATGTTTAAAATTTCAGCTTTAATTTATACTAGTAGTAAACTGGAAAATGTGGTTCTTATTTTTTCACATAATGTAACTATATTAGGATCACTGCATACCTCACTTTGGTTCTAGTACCTTGGTACCCAGGATGACAAATGAACTGATTTGGCAGCCCATGGACCATTATAGTAATGCTTTAGGGAAATAGTAAAGTCCCATTATATTCTATTTTTAAAAAATGTTTGATGTTTGGTTGCCCATTCTCATATCTGGGACTTACAGTATTAATAGCAAATATGACGCTGAACAAATTCAAATTTTTGTCCCCTTTTCCTTTGGAATGGTCAGACCTCATCTAGGACACAATGTTCTATCCTGATGCAGAATTTTAAAAGGGACATCAGTATGTCCAGAGGAAATAATCATGACAGTAAATATATAACATAAGAAACAAACCTGGGAGTTAGGCATGTTTAGTAGAAGAAATAAAGCACACAAGTGAGTTCCCTCACTCTAGAAGTATTTAAAGGAATGTCAGACCTCATCTAGGACACAATGTTCTATCCTGATGCAGAATTTTAAAAGGGACATCAGTATGTCCAGAGGAAATAATCATGACAGTAAATATATAACATAAGAAACAAACCTGGGAGTTAGGCATGTTTAGTAGAAGAAATAAAGCACACAAGTGAGTTCCCTCACTCTAGAAGTATTTAAAGGAATGTCAGACCTCATCTAGGACACAATGTTCTATCCTGATGCAGAATTTTAAAAGGGACATCAGTATGTCCAGAGGAAATAATCATGACAGTAAATATATAACATAAGAAACAAACCTGGGAGTTAGGCATGTTTAGTAGAAGAAATAAAGCACACAAGTGAGTTCCCTCACTCTAGAAGTATTTAAACAGTCTAGAACAGTCATTCATTGAATGATGATATAATTAATTCAGTATATCAGTGGTTCTCAAAGTTGGCCCATGGACCTCCAGGAGGTCCATGAGACCTTTTCATAAGGTCAAAACTAGTTTCATCATAATACTAAGATGTTATTTGCCTTTTTCACTCTCATTCTTATATTAGTGTACAGTGCATTTTTTTTTGAAGCTACATGAAATGGGATATTGCAACACATTAAATGCAGAAGCAAATATGAGAATCCACCTGTATTCTGTTAAGGCAGATATTAAAAAGATTTGTAAAAATCTAATTCTTTTTTGTTTCAGAAAATATAGTTATTTTTAATAAAAATATTCTTTATGTTAACATATAATGGATTTATTTTAATGTTATGTTTAAGTGAATCAGTACATATATTAAATAACTTCAGTTTTAATTTTCAATACAGTAAATATCAATAGATATAATCATATAAAGAAGCTCTTTGAAGTTCTCAATAAATTTTAAGAGTGTAAAGGGTTTTTGAGATTAAATTGTTTGAGAGCCTCTGGGATATGCTATATTTCAGTTTGGTTCCAGTTCAGTAGTTTTAGAAAATAGAATTCGTGATTCAGACTAGCTCATGATTTAAACAAGAAATTGTGATTGAGTTAATGATTCAGTGAAAAATTGATGTGAAATTGGTTTGGTTTAATAAATTACAGTGGTTGGTTAATAATTTAGGTTGTTAATTTTAGTACTTTTTTAAAAAATAGGTAATCGAAAGAAATAGAGTCATATTGGCTAAAAGACTTTACCTCAATGAAAAAGGCTGGAGTAAATATGCTAAGCATTTCATCATACTGCTATCAAGCAAGGTAAACCCCAACTCACTTAAGTTATGGAAAAAGAGGCTCCAACTGTTGAGGGTTGAGACTATAAGAAGCCTTTGCTAAATTTATAGATTAAATTTTAAATATAATTTTATATTTATGCTTTATTGTGGGCAGAATGAAAACAAATCTAAGGAAAGGCTAATAATAGCTCTTCTTTATATTTGTCTTCTATCCTAATCAAAGCAATTTATCTAAGTCAGGGGTCGGCAAACTTTTGAGATGGAAGAGCCAACCCTGTCCCTCACAAGAATTTAAAAATTATTGAAGAGCCATAAATACATTTTTACAAATAAGGAAAATTTAAAGTAATATTATAACGAGTAATAGTATTGATTATATTTTTATTAAAATAAGAAAAATTCACACATGTACATACCCAAAGAGCTGCATGTGTTTTGCAAGCCGCAGTTTGCCGACCCCTGATGTAAGTTAACAACACCCCAAATATTATTTATAGAGTTATCATTCTATTTACTAGTGTTTAAACTAGAAACTATTTTAAGTATCTGTGTTTATTGAAATATTGGGTTGTCGGAAAAGTCATGACGCATGTTTGCGACAGATGGCACTAGTTCATTTTTGGAAGTACTAGAGTCATTTGCATTTATGTTATTGCTATGTCTTTTGGCAGCTGACAGTTCTAGCTTCATTCATTTTTGGAGATTTTACAACAAGTTGAAGATGGAAGACCAAACTGCATTTTTGCCATGTTTTACTGTTTTACTTCCATAAAGGGAAGAACGCGTATCAAGCTTGTGAAAAGTTGCATAAAGTTTACGGTGACAATGCTCTACAAGAACGTCAGTGCCAACAGTGGTTCACGAAATTCCGTGCTGGTGATTTTGATCTCAACGACACTCCTCGGTCAGGGAGGTGCACTGAGGTTGATGACGACAATGCCTTTACTTTGACTTGGTTAATGCCTTTACAAACCCACGTTACACGACACGAGAGATTGAAGAAACATTGAACATCCATCACTGAGGCATTCACGACCACCTGAAGAAGCTGGGATATGTAAGCAAGCTCGATATTTGGGTTCCGCATGAACTCAAAGAAGTTCATTTGATGGTGCATATAAACATCTGCAATATGCTCATTAAACGCGAGGAAAATGATCCTTTTTTGAAGCGATTGATAACTGGTGATGAGAAGTGGATTGTTACAACAATGTGGTGCGCAAACGGTCTTGGTTCTGACGTGATGATTCGCCTCAAACGACATCAAAAGCAGACATTCATCAGAGGAAGGTTATGCTCTCAGTGTGGTGGGATTTTAAATGTGTCATGTTTTTTGAGCTCCTACCAAGGAACCAAACAATCATTTCGAATGTGTACTGTCGGCAGTTGGACAATTTGGACTAATCCATCATCCAGAAATGTCAAGAGCTTGTTAATTGTAAAGGAGTTGTGTTCCATCGCGACAATGCGAGACCACACACAAGTTTGATCACCTGTCAAAAATTATTGGAGCTTGGATGGGATGTGTTGCCACACCCACCATACTCTCCTGACCTTGCACTGTCAGACTTCCACTTGTTTGGCCCTCTTCAAAACTCCTTGCGTGGTATAACGTTCAATTCAGATGAGGCTGTAAATTGGCACCTTGTTGTTTTTCGCAAATAAAGACAGGTCCTTCTATGAACGAGGAATTATGAAGCTCACTGAAAGATGGCAAAAG